ATCATATTACATTATTATAATAAACTGTATTGTCTGTATCGATGTGTTAAATTAGCATAATCTCCAATATTTTAAAAATAATTTTTCTACACTAATTTAAGATCGGATACTTTGTTGAGATAAGAAATAAGTTACTATAATTGTTGAGTATTGTTATTTAAAACAATGTGATGTTTCTATAGTATTTTCAACTTCGAAACGTTTTCGAAAAATAATATTTTATAATTGTAATAAGAAGCAAAAATATTTAGTAATTATCATAATTATTATGTATAAAGTTTAAAAAAAAAAATATTACGCAGAGGAATCTGTATGATATAAAATATTTTGGCGCAAATATCACTTAAAAAACCGTTACATTTTTACAAAAGATCAAACAAACATCATTATCTACCAGTCCAATTCTATTTATTGTAACACGATATGAAGCCCTTTGGAAAGCAATAAATATTCAGTTTAATGACGAGTTGAGATAATATACGACATTTGTTTATCCTATAGAATCACTTGAAGATATAGCTGTTTATGCGATTATGGAATTTAAAGATAAATTTGTTCCGAAAAATTTAAACTTTAGTGTATTATGTATCAAATAGCGCTTATGTAAAATTACCGAAAATATTGGTATTTTTTGGGTAAATACCGGTAAAAATACCGCCGAAAAATCGGGCGGTTTACCGGTAATTCGGTATACCGGTATTGCATTCCCTAGTAAATAGGGTCCTGTTATTACCTGTGTTTTTTGAACAGCCCGTTTGATATTTCTTTGCAAATGCGGATAAAAAACATCGAAATCAAAAGGATCAATCAGTTTCTTCAAACTATCGCCCACATTTTGGAAACCAGGAACGTCTCTTGCACTTCCAGAAGTCAAGGTTTGCAGATATCTGACGTCGAAATAAAACTGCACAGCAGCCACTTGGTTAGACTTCAAATAACCAGCATCATCAGACGAATACACTTCGTAATTTTTAAGTATTTTAAGCGCCAAAGTTTTGATCAAATTCTTTCTGACCGAATTGGGCATCAAGTGTGGACCGACTTGTGCTATTTTGGCATTCGCTGAACAAAGTATGTTTTGTAAAGGAAACGAAGTGTGTGTTGGTATACGGATGTTCGATTCAATAATTTTGTCCTCATCATCTTTTTCCTGGATTGTCACGGTCTCCCATTGCTAAAAAATAATAGACATAGGGTAATAGATCCAAGAAATATGGACCGATTCTGCCGCATAACAGACAAATGTTATGGCAAGGCCATGTTACGTTCCAACTTGCATACATTATGCTACTGAATCGTACTGAATACTGTCGAAATGTCATGTGTATTTGGTGTGCATTCAGGCGTTTTACACATAAACTGCAACGTCACTCGTATGTTATGAAGCTGAGTCATAAAGACCCTGTTATCTAACATCATTTTTTAACTTCCCGAAGGAGAAGTTTATGTTTTCATCAAAAAATCCGATTCGCTAATTTTATGTTTTCTTGACGTTTCAAGCCATTCTGAATCGAATGAGACCAAATATGAAAAAAGTAAGTGTGTGTGTGTGTGTGCGTGTGAACAGATTTTTTGCCGTAAATCGACGATTTCTCGAAAACGATTGGGCCGATTTAAAAAATTTAAAAGCCACTCGATGTATCTCGATGAGGACTATCGTTTGTCAGTTTTGTGGGACGATCGGCCGAGACGTTTCTTTATAAATAGCAGAAAAGTGAAAAATTGTTCGTCCACGTTTTAGCCCGCAATTCTGAACCGATTATGAAAATTCAAAAACCGTTCGAAAGATATTGATTGGGAATCGCGCTGATTAGTTTTTGATAAAGATCGGCCAAGCCGTTTTCTTGTAATAACGTTAAAAAAAAAATCGACGATTTTTATGATTTTTTTTTTGACAGTAGATACCATAGTTTTCTAGATCATACTAAAATATTACTGCCCTACGACAACTCGGTTAGCTTTAAAAATTCGTCAAAGTTTGCAAAAATTAGTATCGTTTTTTTGGCATTTGTCAAAATTAAGACCTTTCATCGACGTTTTCTCAAAAACGCCTGAACCGATTTCAAAAATTTAAAAGCCATTTGATGTATTCGATGAGCACTATCGTTTGTCAGTTTTGTGCGACGATCTGCCAAGCCGTTTCTTTGTAATTTGAAAAAAGTGTTAAACTTTTCGTCCACATTTAAGCTCATCCTACCAAACCGATTTTAAAAAATCAAAAACTGTTCGAAAGATATTAGTTGGGAATGATACTGATTAGTTTTAGGTGAAAATCTACCGAGCCGTTTTCTTGTAATTAACCGTTGAAAAAAAAATTTAAGCCGATTTTTATGGAATTTTTTTGGCGATATATCATGGTCTTCTAGAACTTACTGTAATATTATGGTCTTACGAAGGGTAGTTTAATTTTAAAAATTAATCAAAGATTAAGAAAATGAGTAGTTTTTTTGACGTTTATTGAAATTAAAATTAGACGATTTACTTGGTACAACGATAGAGTAGTTGGTCTTGATGAACATACTAAACCATTAAAGCCCTACGGAAACTGATTCAATTATAAAAATTATTGATTTGTGAAAATTTACTTTTAGAAAATACTCCGAATTAACGTGTTAGTTCGTTTTTAATTACGTGTAATAAATCCACTGGGAATACTTTTAATCACTCATAAATTAATTTATTGATTAAGTCGATTATTCACACATATCGGGAAGTACATGTAACTTGCCTTAAGGCTAAAAACCAAACCAACTAGTTTGACATTTGTGCGATTTCTAGGTCAGATTTTCTATCTGACAACCTGAGAAATAAGTCTGAGTGCACAGCAACCACATGACATTTGTCAATATTTAGTATGGAAAGTTCTTCATAACATGGCCTTGCCATAACATTGGTCTGTTATTCGGGAGAATCAGTCCTTTACTTTATATCATTCTATTATCTTACTGATAATATTTTCAGCATGACGCGCGCACTCAATTCCTTCGGCATATTTTTATCCAAAGTGTTTTCTATGAAGTCGTTTACTGAATCCAACCAGCATTGCCAAAGTTTTACATCCAATGATGTTATATCATTGAATACGTGATTTGAAGGTGTTTCTTCGGTTTTATTCATGGATTCACTCTCGGTGTGTTTGTGAAAACATTGGGAAAGATTTGGACATAAGTACATCACTGAGTTTAGGTATCGAGATAGTGTTAGGCATGATTTTTCTTCAAGGTATTGTTTTTCTATGTGATCTAATAGACTGAAAGTGAAAATATGAAATATTGTAAATAATACTCTAAACTTGTGTTTATTATATATATATATATATATATATATGCATATATATATATATATATATATATATATATACTAGCTGACCCGGCAAACGTTGTTTTGCTACGTAAGGTATATCCTAAACAATTTCTAGAGAATCAAAATTATTTAATACTTTAAGTGTATAAGGATGTGTTGTTTAAATGCTCTATACAATGAGGTATTAAAAAAACAATAAACACCATCAGTTTGTCTATATTTTGTCAATACAACCAAACTGCAAGTTTTATACACTTTTTATAGAAAACATGGTATAACTCAATCCAAGTCTTTTTTGGTCTTTCGACTTATTGATTACGTTTCAAGTTTTTCTGATTCTTTTTGGATTCTGGATTTTGTGTATAATTGTAAATAATACTACTAAGTTTATCAAAAAAAATTCAAATTTCTGCGAGGAGAGATAGAAAATGAATTAAGTATTTCTTCTTTGACCTGCTTTTTGAAAAGTTTCAAGTAACATTCGATGAATTAAAGTAAATTTAATAAAAAGTATATATGTAGAGCAGGGCGAGGCACAAAGGTCCAATTTGACTTTGAGCAAATAATAATCATATTATAAAAATCAAACCAATTATATCACAACAAATAACACATTTCAAACAAACAATTATCTGACTACGTTCAGTAAAACTGCCAGCTACTTCATCATTGTAGAAATGTGCTTTTTTATGTCTTTCAAAAATTTGTTGTCAAGACCTTTTTACTTTATAGGCGGAATAACTTGGAACGGCCACGTTTAATATCTTATTTTAATTTTAAAGGTATTTTAATTTATTTTTTAAAGTTTAGAGTTTTAAAGATTTTTGAATATTATTGTTTCTTACTTTACTAATATAAATGAATTACAACTTAAATCTATGAAATTTAAAACTTATTTATTTTAATTATAAACTGCAATTTAACCTAACCAAAGAAATACATGATTTTAAATGATAAAAAAAATATATGATAAAGTTTGATTCAAGAAATTTCTGATGCAAGAAAGTCAGATATCTCAAATATTAAATCGGAATTGACTATGGATTAAGTTTCATTTTTAAATATTACTTAAACAATTTATAGTCATTTTTAGTCGAATTGAAATACATTTTCTTTTGCTATATTAAAATAAATACATTTTAATTTCAATTAATAATATTTAATGTAAGCCAATTATTAATCTAGAGTTAGATTTATTAGTTAACTTGAATTGAAGTTTATTTAGAGTTTGCTTGTTTAAAAATAATTTTGAACAAATTTCAGTAATTTTTAGTGAGACATAACTATTTTTGTTCTTGACTATAATATAAATCAATGTTATATTAAGTCTGTAATATTTAATGTTAGTCGATATTTAATCTATATTGAAATTTAATTAATTATAATTCCAATGTATAAATTTTAAAATAATTACATTTTTAACTAATACCAAAAAACTACCAACGGAAGAAAATACTTTTATTATGGATTTTCAAAGATTACCATTAGCAAAGTCATGAGAATCAGGGTTATACATCCTTTTTCCTCTTCTTTCAAATATTGTTGTTAAACAATGCTTAACTTTAGTGGTTTTCGACACATCGGTGGTGGACCCTTTTAACCCCGGACCTTCATATAATTCTATCTATTCTTCGATAAATTCTTCAAAATTATAACTGGGAAAATGTTATTCGGCAAAATATTCCCTTTGATCGATACCAAATTTAGGTTCTGAATTTAAATAATATGAATAAAAAATAATATAATCTTGAAAATGTTTTATAAATACCAATGAGTATATAATTATACAAATGAGATCTATCAGAGCACCGTGTTTGAGAAAAATATCCCAAAAAGTGCATTTTCATTTACTAACGTTCGTTTACTAACGTTTTTGTGTATAAATAAAACTGCAAATGAAACTACTTACTACTACTACTACTATTTAATCATAATTAAATAATATTCACGTAAAACATCGTATTAAACGTAATTGAACATCATCTGTCAAAAACGTTTAACATTTGACGTATTAGCCACCGTTCATTGTTTTATTCAAATTACGCTTCTACAAAAATTTTTAAATTAAAAATGTAAAGTTACTACGCGATTTTGAAATAATATCTCACCTTTCCGACAACTTATTGATTAGCACGAATTTTTCAAGTCTAAGACTGTGGCCAAATCGGTTTAGCCATTTTCGAGTTTTAGCGGGTTATTTTATCGAGAGCTCTATATATTATATATATATATATATATATATATATATATATATATATAATTATGTGTCTATAAATACCTTTTGATATTTTCCGTCGAGCAATCATGCAAAAACTTCAAAATCATCTTCCCATTATCATCCAGTTCCAAAAACCGATCACTTGCCAAATCATCTTTATGATACAAATAAAACAATACATCATCCAACAAAGTCTTTAGACATTTATCAAACATCCTGCACGATTTGATCATATCATTATCAAAACCGTACACATTGTTCAGGGTAAACTGATTATCAGTCTTTCCAATAACTTTCTTCGATAATTTTACACCTGAATCTTCTTCCGCTGGTTTATTATCAGTGATGTTTTCCAAGTAATTCCAAGCAACGACGTCTCTCTGGTTGTTAGAACTCTGTGATTTTTTTTGTACGATTTTTTTTATGTCCGTTTTTATGCAAGCGATGGCTTTTGTCCAGGTCAGATTTATGAGATGCTGGATGCGTTTTGTGAGCAGAGGCTGGTAGTATTGAACGAAGACGTTGGTCATGTCGGGAACGCTGAGTTTGGTGCAGATTTCTTGCCAGTTTGGAGGTTTTTCTAGAAGAGAAAGAACTAGGTGTAAGTGGCATTTAGCCTTGAGGCAAGTTAAAAGAACTCGATATGTGTAATAGCTGACTTAATCAAAATTGAGATTTATGAACCGATTCTGCCGCACAACAGACCAATGTTATGACAAGACTATGTTGTGAAGAACATTCCATACTAAATATTGACAAAAGCCATGAGGTTGCTATGCAGTCAGGCGTTTTTCTCAGGTTGTCAGATAGAAAACATAACCTAGAAACCTCACAAATGTCAACAAACGATGTTAGATAACAGGATCTTTCTGACTCAGGTTCATAACATGACGAGTGACGTTGCAGTTTATGTGTAAAACGCCTGAGTGCACAGAAAATACATGACAATTTGACAGTATTTAGTACGATTCAGTAGCATAATGTATGGAAGTCGGAGCGTAACATGGCCTTGCCATAACATTGGTCTGTTATGCGGCAGAATCGGAACATTAGATATTCAGATACAATTTTCAAATGTTGACTTCAAAAATAAAGTTTACGCTTTCACGAAAAACTTATCAATGCGATTTCCAATTGATATCTCTGAACAAATTCATGATATCTGTGATTATAATATTTATAGTGTTACATACGTAGTTCGAAATACAAATATTTTTTTATAATTATTAGCACTAACACTGAATCTTACTTTAGTAAGAATTAAGCAATATTTCAGCAAGATTTTTAGAAAGATGTTAGTAATATATTAAATTTGAAGAAAGTCGAAAAGAAGTTAAAAGCATGCTATATTCAAGTTAGAACCAATTTAGAATTTAATAAGACTCAAGTAAGAATTCAATTACAATTTAGCAAGAATTTAGTCAGAACCTAATAAGAATGTAATGCTAGATAGAATCTGATAAGTCCATTAATCATGTGAAGTTTTTAGGAGAAGGAGAGTTTTGACAAAAAATCACTTTGGGGAGAGGGGTATAGTAAGATATCATGTGTATTTATTTTTCACCTATTTTTTTTTAAAAAAATCCAAACATTTTCAAGAAAAATAAAAAAAATTACATTTTTTTCTTATAACTAAAGATACACTTGATGTGAGATAGGGAAGGATAGGGTTAATTTTTAATAGCACCACAAAAATCCTTCAAAATCGATCACGTGATTAATGAATGCCCTCTAATAGGAATATAATAAAAATATAATAATTTTTTTATAGAAAGAAACTCAGATTTAAAGAAATTCTGAAAAAAAATTGTGAAAAACTGAATAAGATTTTGACAAATACCTAATAAGATTCAGTCAGAACCCAATAATAATGTAATAAGTATTCAGCTAGAATGTAATAAAAATCTGATGGAAGAAAGTAATAATAATATAATAATATGATATAATATACTTCTTAAAACTCTGATTTAATAAGATTCTAAAAAAATCTTAATAACTCAGAAAGATTCTGGTTAAAGTTTACTAAAATTCTAATATTCAGTAAGAATTCAATTAGATTCTCTATTAAAAATATATGACAGAAATCTGGAATTCAAAAAACTCATGAGAATTTTGTAAGAATCTCGAATCTAATTAGAATATCTAATAATTGTAATAATGAAATAATAAGATTTTGGTTACAATTCAAGCAGATTGTGAATAATCAAGGTGATAAATCTTACCAGAAAGTATGAACTTTATGAGAATCTAGTAAAAATTTTAGAAGTAATTAGTATAGACCTAACAAACTAACTGATTCTGGTTAAAAGTTTCGGATTCCAGTCAGAGCCTAAAATTATTCAGGTTCAAAAATCGAAAAACTAGTGTCTAATAATAAATGAAAAATGTTATAAAAATTATGGAGTAATCTTAGAAGAATCTGGTTAGAATCTGATTAATATCCAGTCATCAACCATCTACAGTCTGCTAGTTAGAGAACATTTAAAATTTAGTTAGAATAAATTATTCTGGTGAGAAACTAATGGAAATATATTAAAAAACTTGAAAAAAATCTGTAGTAATTTTATAATAATCTATTTGGTATCTGATTAATATCTAGCAAGATTCAAGTTAGAACGTGATTAGAATCTAGTTCAATCTAAAATCTACTTAGGATAGCTAGAGTACATTTAAAATCAAGTTAGAATATAAGTATGAAAAGATATTGATGTTTTGAACGGATGTCGAGTTTTTAAACTCAATTAAAAAATGTGAGCTAGAATGTGAACAAAAAGTTTTACACTTTTCTGCTAATTCCGAAAAAACTTGGCTTGGCCGATCGTCTAACAAATCTAATCATGGCTTCTCCATATTGAGTTTAATAGAACGCTTTTTAAATTTGTGAAATCGGTGCACCCTTTATTGAAAAAACGTCTTAGAAAGGTCAAAAACACATACTTTTTCTAAATTCAGTCTCATTCAATTCAGAAATCGGTCAAGAAAACATAAAATTAGATATTGGCAAATCAGATTTTTTGACACAAACAAACTTCTTCTTCGTGAAATTAATAAATAAGCTGATTAATGGTATAAATGGTATGAAAGTAAATACAAATTACTATATTGTTTCAATCTTTTATTTCAACTCACCTATATCCGCCAACTTATGTCTGATTCCTTGCAAAGACTTCACAGAGTTCACCAAATTAATTAATTCAGCTAAATCTTTATTAACCCGGACTTCAACTTCTTGCAACCACTTTTTCATGGCTTGGTTCAATTCATTAGATGATAACGTATTATTAAAATCCATACTGGGCCTAGAAGATAATAATTAAAATATATATATATATATATATATATATATATACACCTAAGTCTGTTTTTACACGGTAGATTGGTTCCAGAAGAAGCCGTGTAAAAAAAACGTGTAAAAAAAGACATTGATCTTATACAAAAATGGGTGATTTGTTCCTAATCTCTAAAACCTATTAAAATTAGTGAAAAACAAGAATTTTTAAGAACAAGAATTCATGATTATTTTATTAAATCAAATATATATTGCTTATTTTCACAAGCATAGTAATTAATGATAAAAAAGATATGCACTCTAATCTTAAAAGTAATATAATAATATAATAATAATAATAATAATAATTGTTTGTACGCGCTAAAGGAGAATTCACTTAAATCTTTAAGCTAGTGTTCGCAAACTATCGATACTATCGATGGTTTCAGACGTTTTTCTTTCATAAATACTTTTTTGTGATATGAACATACTTCACAAAAATTAAATTTGACAAAAAAAATTTAAGTACATAAAATTTCAAATCGCGCTAAATGGAATAAAATCGTGTAAAAAAATTAAAAATATTCAATTTTCAAACCGTATTATATCAAAACCGTGCACAAAAAGACCGTGTAAAAACAGACTTAGGTGTATATATATATATATATATATATATATATATATATACTGGTAGTGAAAATTTATTATCATTTACCCACCTGAAGTGCAAAATATCATCTCCCAGCACTCTTTCAACAACCGCACTCTCCGAACTCAATTGTTTAATAACCGGCAACACATCCGATTTTAACATTTTATCAAATTCAACATTCACTAAGGGTTGAGGATTTCCAATAAAACATTCGTGAACCAATAGTAATGTATTGATTAATAAGTTTGCAGATTCCTGGACTTTTGTTTTGACATTGTACTGTTCGTTTTTCGGTTGCAAAATTTCATTCAGGGCTTCAATTCGCAGATTGATGAAAGTGTTCAGGATATTTGATAGGAGTTGATCTTGTAATAGACATAGGGTGCATATACAACAAACAGCGGTCTGAAATAATGATAAAAGCTAGTGGTGCATGGCATCGTGCCTTAAGGCAAATTGTCGGAACTTCCCGTACCGTAATTAAACATTTGAGGAATAAAAATAATAATTCAACAAAAATCCTATGAATAAATATTATAAAACTAGAATTTTCATTATTTGTTCCTTGTAGACAAAATATGAAACTTATTAGATAAGACGACGTTGTTTATATATGTTTGAATAAAATATATATAAACAATATCTATTTAAGCGGACTTATTAGAGGTAGAATGAACATTATTTTATATCAAATGCATCAATTTTTCGTTCGCGAAATATATGCACTGAGTTAACAAATTTAAATAGTTCATGTAGTATCAACAATACAAACATGAAAAGCATTAAATTTTGTTTTTTTAATATTATAGATGTGGGATTAGAACCCGATGGGTTTTAACTTTATTAACTATTAAACCGAACAAAAATTACGGTGACGCGCCAACCAACTCAGCTACAATGACATGCTCACGCGAAACGCTGTGATTTAATCAGAATTTCTGCACTTTTTGCACTATATCTTCGAAATGACTGGACCTGCCTATACCAAAAACTAATCAGTACGTCTCCACATCAATACGAATCGAATGTTTTTTGAATCATCCAAATCGGCCGATTTGTTCTCTCAGAACATGCCATTTTTTGCACTTTTTGCTCCGTATTTTCGAAACGGCTAGACCTACCTTCGCCAAAAACTACTCGGGACGTCTCCTTATGAATATGAATCGAAAGCTTTTTTTAACTTCCCTTCTTCTGTAATAACTCTCCCTTAGGGTAAGTTATTGTAATGGGCCGAAAATCGAAATTGAAAATTTTTACATTTCTCGACGTTTTGAAGGTTTCTGAACGTTTTGGCATACCCCAGAAAAAATGGATGTGTATGTGTGTGTATGTGTATTCGTGTATCAACCGAATTGAATGGTTCAAAAAACATTCGATTCCTATTGATAGGGAAAAGAGCTGATTAGTTTTTGGCAAAGGCAGGTCCAGCCGTTTCCGAGATACGGAGCAAAGACTGCAGAAAATAGAAATCGAGTAGAACGGAGTATCCGATTTGAATGAACAATTCAATTAGTTCTAATATAAAAAACATTCAATTAGTAACGATTGGGAGAAGTGTTTATTAGTTTTTAGCAAAGGCAGGCCCAGCCATTTCGAAGATACGAAGCTAAATATGTAAAAAATGGCAGTTTTTGAGAGAACTAAGCTTTCGATTTAAATGATTCAAAGAACTTTCTGCTTGTTTTAACAAAATAATTTATTTTGGAAAAAAATTTTTGTTCAAACTTTTTTTTTTCAAAAAAGAATTTTTTTGTATATCAAAAATAATTCAGATTTTATTTTTAATTCTGACTATAGTTCTAATATACTTTAAACAAATAATTTCAACTTTGCTATTCGGTTTATATAATTCTTATAAATATTAGACAATGTTACAATATTTATAATAATCTATTTGAAAACATTCAGTATTCCTCGAACATTTCGTTACGGTACGGGAAGTTCCAGCAATTTGCCTTAAGGCACGATGCCATACACCCCACTAGTTTTGTATTCAAATCGGTTGATCGGTGTTCCCGAAATAGTCGACAAAAATTTGTATCCGCAAGCACACACACACACACACTAAATGTATATTAATTGTTATCCACAAAGTATAATAATTGAATTTTTAAATTCTCTTAAAACTAATGTGTGGGCTTTATATTTAAAAAATAATTAATTAAATAAAATTATATAAAATAAAAATTCTGTCTTTTTTTCAAAATAGTCAATTTTGTTAAAAAATTTAAAATTTTTCAAAAATCTAATTTTCAAAAACAAATTTCTAATAATTAAAAAAAAAAATTTGATACAGGAAGTTCCAGCAATTTTCCTTAAGGCACAATAAGTTTGAGAATAAATGGTTAATAGTGATAAAACTATCATACCTCTGTTTTAATATCAGGACATTTCAGTGCTTCATTACAAGCATTTTTAATCGTCTCATTGAATGTAGAAATCATATTCCATTGTCTCTCAGCAAGCTTCATCCAATTAAATTTTTTATCTGATTGGACATCATCATTTACACGAAATTGTAGACCTAAAAAAATAGAAAATTAGGAAATAAATCGATATATATATATATATATATATATAATGATTTTCTTACCTGTGCTGATATGCCTCGCAAACAAATACAACTCCACAGCCCCCAAAAAATCTTCATTCTCAATAGCCGTCCAAATCTTTTCAGGCACAATAATTAATATATGTATTTGTGCAGCTACAGAATCCTGCGAGAAGTTCATGTGCGATCTGCTGCTGTTTCTCGAATTTGTTATTTGCAATTTAAAAAATCCAGTCCATTTAGATTTTTCACAAACTTCATTAATTTTGCTAACGTGTTGTATCACTTTGGATGCTGTTTGTTTCATCTCGGCTATTGTATCAGCAGCTAGGAGGAGATCACGGTAACGCTCCCTGGGAAATAAAAAATAAGTAATAATAATAATAACATAAGCCTTGAATTTGCCTTAAGGCAAGTTGCATGAACTTCCTGATATGTGTTTATAATCGACTTGATAAAAGTTGATATGTACTTTCACTAAAAACTTCAACTAATAATATATGTAATTATATTAATGTTACTATTTCTTACCCCACCATAGTTCGTAGTTCCTCACGCTTTTTCTCAATTTCATGTTGAAGCTTTATACGAACTTGTTCAATTTCTTGGATAGATTTTTGCTCAAAAAGCTGTTCAGGATTTATTTCATACAAAACTGACTTGGACATGTTGAATTAGATATTTAAACATTTATATTAAACATAAATATAATGCATTTAAAACATTAAA